CAAACGACAAATTTAGTTGGGCTCCAGGTGAGTCTGTCAAAAAACCAAATTAGTCTGCAAATGAGTGTATTTCGTGAATTTTACTCATTTATTAGTTAAATGGATGTCAACGGAGGGGGAGAAAGTAAGCTCAGCAAAAAGGAATCTTGACAAAAACTTGAAGAACCCGCCAGCTCGATGAGTTTCAGGAAGGGGCAAGTGGTAGTGGGTTGGCTGACAGCGAAGTTTCAGCAACTTTTTGAGTAGCGTATAACGATACCTCAAAGACATACTAACGAGCGAAACAAGAGGTGGAGCAGAGCGTTCCTTTGGAGAATATCCCCAACGAGACATTCAAATGAAAAGCAGCCGAGTCACCCAGATCGACATTTGGTTAATTTTTAAATGAGTGCATTTTGTCAGTACGTGACTTCTCGTTCGACTGTCCACTGGGATTGCAACCAAGGGAAGATAGCGAGCTCAAGTTTGAGAACTCCAGAAAGTGTGGGACTGGATAGGTGTGAAATCTGGGTCTTGAAGAAATCTTTCAAACTATGTTAATTTTCAAATGAAGATGGTGATTGCAGAGGCAGAATCAGCCGAATCCCAGTTGAACCTCCAGGGCGTGATGTTCCTCGACTGAAATGTGCTGCACAAAGGCCACCTCATGCTTCTCTTAGGAAAATCTTCGGTTCTGGAATGGACACATTTCTAATAAAAAAATGTAGGATATCAAAGTGCTTTCATCAACCTCTTTGGCAGAATGCTCAGTCGAGGATAAGGTAATGTCCAAGGAGTTGGGGGGTTTCGTTTTGTGTGAAAACTGAAGGGATGGTACCTTGAAACATCCGTTTGCAACGACCGCAGAGATGGAGTTTGAGTGTACATTGGACACAGTTTGGTAAAACCAGATTGAGGTGGTGTTTTTCTAAACGCACGATGTTGGTTCAAGGCGTCTAGCAGTAACCTCTTTTACCTTGTGCATGAGTGAATTCCTATTCTGACAACAAACCATTCGAAGAAACAACGAAGGCATGTTCTGAGTTATCCGACACTTGTGCGTAGTTCCACGCGTGCCTTCTTCATAGAGGTGCATGCAGTTTGAGGTGGATAGAGTCATGAAGCTATTCTTTACGAGCCCCAGTGGTATCCAGTTGGATTTGGGTATATAGGAAGTTTTCAGCTGGAAATTCGAGCCCTCTTGTAAATCCAGTCTAATTTATGCTTTTCCTTAACGCAGAAGCACTTTGAAATTCGAGTGAGGCGAGAGTGATTTCACGGGCTGAGTGAAACTTTTATCTGAGAAGTAGTTATTCGAGGAGGCAGTGATTACCTGAGACTACTTGATACGGTTTTGTGACCGGATAATGAATAGCTTTACCCCCTGTCTGTGTACGTATTACTACAACCGCTGATCGGCCACTCATGACCGAACGATTTAGCGTTTATGTTCTACCAATCAAGAGTTCACCGGTTCGAAACTCCCTCGTGAGGTTTCGTGAGATGNCTGAAAATCCGTCGACAGCCCACGACCGGTTTCGCCTTAATGTCTTATGTTCGCCTTATGTTCTACTTGAAATCAGATTGCACGAAATTGGCGAATATACACTCATTTGCAAACTAGTTTGGTTCTCCGAGAGACACAACTGGAACCCACCAGAATCTCTCGTTTGTGATATTTCCAGGCATATATATACCTGTATCGCGATATCTCGAATATCCTACGGACTGAAACATGAGGCGACCTGGTGCAGCACATTCAGTTGCCTGGAACATCACAAACGAGAGATTCAACTCTCGAAAAACCAAACTGGTTTGCAAATGAGTGTATATTCGCTGATTTCGTGCAGTTTGGTTTCAAGTAGAACACAAGGTTAATTGCCCGTTGCATTATTGTAGTGCTTTTTCCACCTTTGAACGGTGTCTTGCTACCGGAGTGAACGAAGTTTGACCTGTTGGACCTTATACTTGGCTTAGAATTGTGTCCACAATCAACAGTCGTTCAAGCAAACAAACAATGACGTCAGATACACCAGACTGTGAGTTCTCCCAGAACAGCAGACAGGCTTCTGAATTATCCGAGTTGTGTTCAAACTTGCTAACAAAGTTTCGGAGATGACCTCGATTAGGTGAAAATGTTTTGGGATTACGAAAAGACGATCCCCTTTTCTGGTGCTTGGCCCTTGTAAAGACGTGCGATTATACACTTAGTAAAGAGAGAAAAATAAGGAGAAAGGTGGGAGTATCACCAACAGCCTTATGTGTATATGGTGGAGCTTTATAGAAGCAATACACTACTCATAAAGTTGCTGAAGTTCTCGATTGAGACATGAAGCAACCTGGTACAGCACCCTCAGCTGAAGAGAGATTCATCTGGGTTTATGGCGCGCCTCCCGTGGAAACCAACTTGGTCTGCGGATGAGTGTGTTTGTCGAATTTCGTGCAATCTGAGTTAAAGTAGAACAAAAGGTTGAAGGAAGCTTGGGGACTGCACCTACTTCGTGAGCCCCAAGAAGGCCCAGACCAGTTGTGGGCTGTCGAAGAGTTTTCATCAGCCTCATGAGCTGCATGCTACGTCTACACAATTGTACAGTGTACAGTGCTATGCAAAATTTCAATAAGCCCGAGTCTTGCCGTTAAGGCTTGCCATTCGTTGTCCACACTGAGTTTGACGGCCTTAATCGATGGTAGTTCGGTGAACTTATTCCACAGAGAAAATGATCTTAGCCTGGTACTTGTGTGGAACAGTATTTTCCTAAAGAAGAGGCTGGCTCCAGGAAGAGAATATAACCGGATTCCGTGACAGTAGTTTCTCAAAGGGGACATCCGAAGAGTACACCCGTCTGTGAGAAGAAGATACGCTCCTTATCGGCAGTCTCCGTTCACACAAAGGTTGTTTAATACTACAAAGTGTTCAAAACCAGTTTCTTGTTCGTAGACATTATGTTAAACGTTTGGAAAGTGGAAAAAGGACAGACCACGCTGTAATGACCAATAACCTCGTTGCGTTGTATTTGTCAAAATTCTACGCGGTTTTATCCATACTCTCTGAGTGTGTTTGTTACACAAGGAACAAACTGTCCAGAGCATAAGTTAGCTAAAGAATTGGCGTCTGCGATCTCATTTATTTGCATGGAGGCGAGGACAACAGTTTGGAAAAACTCTGTTGACAGTTATTTGTAACGATGACCCAGATATGAAATGAATTTTACCCGTCTCACTTATAAGACAAACGTGGTGTTTGAAAAGTACTCATCAGCAATTGGAGTGCAATGACATTCGCACTCGAAAGGTGCATGCGAATGCAATTTCTACTGGAAATTCTCTTGATTTCATTCCCATACCGATCTACTTGTTAGCCTATTCCGACGGCTAAGGTTAGTGGTTAATCGATCGGGTTGTTCTACCTTTCTCTAGAGAACTAGAATTTGAAAATGATACAACCTTCAATGTGTTGATCAGGGCTACAATATGGGCGAAACTGTAGTTCATTTATTCCTCTTTTTGCCTCGGAACACTCAGCGATCGAATTGGCACTCGCAAAATTACAAAAATGTTTCTGAATTGTTAAACTCTGGGGAGCTTGACGATCTAGAACGAAAACCATTGGTGTTTTTTCCACTTGTATCCTGACCATGCCCTACTCACCTATCTTCTCAAGTTTGATATCGCTCGTTCACTCGCATGCTTAATCCGGTGTTCCACTTTTGAAACTGTCTGTTTGACTTCCGTTCTCGCAAAAGCCTCTCTATTGGTCGCTGGATTGAGCAGCGCCCACGTTGCACGTGTCTTGCTCTGGAACACTGAAACACTTTGAAAGTAACTTCACCGGTTCACCAGGAAACCAATCACAGTAAGACAGGTGTCATATGGGGGAATAATTGCATTAACCCGCACTGTTTGTCCGGGAACTTACAGCATGAATGAATGCTGATGTCGCTTTGGGAACGGTCTGGTTAAGCTATGGCGTACTTTACCAAGAGGCGCGTGGTTTTCTGTAGCAGGTGAGTTCTTTATTATGATATCGTGTCATTCAGAGGTAATCTGACAACAAAGACAGCGATTGGTAGAACCAATCCGTTTGGTTTTCTAAGGGATGTACATTTTTCCGTAGAAAGGAGAATGTGTAATATTTAGGATAAAATCCTTCTGCTAGTAATGTCCATTATCAGACTGGTGGACTCATTGTCGTGTCCATCGCATTTTCAGTTTGACTTGGATATTGATTTTACACCTAACATTCTGTGTGACACTCTCATTTGCGAAGCCAGGCGACAGTTTGACACGTGATACGAACATGTGTTGTTGAGACTGAGGAGGGACACTTTGCTAGCCATCTTAACGGGTGTTTTATCTATTGACGTAACAAATTTTGAACGGGTTCGATTCCTTTCAAATTTTCTCGGCATTATTAGATGATTTTGAAATGTTTTTGGGGATTTCCTCCTATAAATGAAGTTGGTCTAAGCCGAAAAACCGAGAGGCGCTGTGCAGCTGTTTTCCCCATTGAAAATTTTGAATCCTATTATACTACTATCAATCTATAAGTAGCTCACATGAGGAATAAGCTGAGAGAATGAGTGTAACTTCCATCTGCGAAGCCGACGCTCGAGGAGCCAGTCAAAGCGTGACCACCTGATATACATTGCGTGATTGAAGGGTGAACAGTCTTATGTCTCGTTTGAGTTCCAGTTAGTCACACTGCTCGTGATCGAATGATCGATGCGTAAACTGTTAGCCGGGAGGTAGCGAGTTCGAATCACCCTGGAGATTCGTGAAACCCACATTGCTGCTGACTCCCAATAAAGATGAGACCACTGTACAGTGCTTCTAGAGTTTCCAGCGTACATTCACCTCACTTACAGGATGAAATATCAATTTAGAGTTTTACTGAAAAAAATGATTTTTCCGAATAAACTTCTTGGAATTCCTAACATCTGAAATAGTTGCCTAGTTAAGATGAGCACGCCGCTGAAAAGTTTTATTTGTCAAAGAGAAGAGCCACTTAATTCTCTAACTTTAAGATTCATAAGTCAGTAATCCAACGCCTCACGAATTCCTTGATTAAACGTAATGCAAAGATTTTGTTAACAGCCGCTATAATTAGCCCCAAGAATTTGTCAGAGAAGAGTTTTGGACTTCGTTTGGGAAAACTTTCCTTCCAAAAAGAAGGCATTTTTCAAAAAATGATGAAATAAATACGAAATGGGATCAAAAGTATTATTTGGTCGAAAACCAACTGATGATGTGTACCATACTAACTAGATCAGGTACCGGGATTGTGCAGGTTTTAATTGTAGCGGTTGGTAGTGTTTGAACAAAATTTACCTGTTGTTAATAGTTTTGCTTTACTTAATGGGCTGCAGTGCCAAATTCGTTTTATACTCGATCTTCATGCACACGGACCTCTATCATATGGGTCAGTCCGGTGATTTTTATGATTGAAAGCAAACTCCATTTTCATAAAGGAAACTACTCACAAGGTTGCTGAAAACTCTCCGACAGCACGACCGGTTTCACCCTTCTTGGGGCTCATCAGGTAGGCGCAGTCCCCGAGTTTCCGTCAACCTTATGATCTACTTGAACCCAAATTGGACTGTTTTCGAGAAATACACTCATTTAGGAATCGATTTGGTTTTCACAAGTGACTCAACTGAATTTCTCGTTTATGATGTTCTTCAAGTGAATATGCTGCACACAGGCCGCCTCATGTTTCGGTTGGTACGGTATTCAATATGGTGAAAACCGAATCAATTTGCAAATTAGTGTATTTCTCAAACTCCATTTTGTTAATAGTCACACCACTCTCGTTTGAACGGGCGTGTTCCTGTTCTGGCGTAATTATTCTGGTGAGTCCACACCAAAGGGGAGCACTGGACTCGAATTTCGCTCTTATTAGGGCTCATCAGCAGTGCATATCAATGGCCGTGCCTAGATTTGAACCACGGACATCTGACAAGCGAGGCGAGCGTGTAACCACTACTCCACCAACGCACGTTGGACGCAGCTGAATTTTCACGTCTGAACAGGCGAACGTGTTCATACTTGAGCGATATGGTTGGTGTGCCCGACTCCATTTTCACGAAAAGTCTCAACTGATGGTGATCTATCACCGCCATTCCGCCAAAGGGCCCAATTCCGGGTGACGCTATCGCAGATTCAGGCTATGAATGATGTTTCAAGGTCGGAACCAGGTAGCTGGTGATTTGAAAGTACCTCTCAAATCGATGTAGGGCTGTCACTCATTAAAACAATCGGTCAGTCGAGAACGCTGAATGTTTTAGAAGTTCCCCGGAGTTCCGGACAACTTCTAACGTGCCCAAATAGAGCGGTCTGGTTTTAGAAAAATTCGCTAATGATGCAATTCTGTGATAGGTCTCATACAGAGAAGCTTACTCCATAAAGCTCACAGCAGAAATGCAACGGAACAGAATGGGAAAATGTCGAAAGCAATTTGGCAGGAAAAGTTCAACTGTATGTTGTAGAGACAGGCTACAAAAAGTTTTAAAGCAACCGGAACCGGAACAGGGTACCACAAATTCAAAATATTGCTGTTCGCAGCGAGCAGTTGACAGAGAAAGAATATCCTATGCAGGCATCCCCACTCTTAGTATTCAAGGTTTTGCAGACGGAGATATTTCAACCACTTTATCGAATATAATTCAAATTGTTCGCCACTTTCTTCAGGATAGGTCGGTGGTGAGTATATCCTACCTCCGGTTTCTCTCTGCTTGGTGTAGATAGTTTGCCGCAGTCCAAAGAACTTGAGACAATCAAATCTTCACTGAGGATTCGCCTTTCTTGGGGCTCATCAGGTAGGCGTAGTTTCCGAGTTTCCGTCAACCTTATGTTCTACTTGAAACTAAATTACACGGAGTTAGCGAAATGCACTCACTTGCAAAACAAATTTGGTTTTACGGGAGACTCTCCTGGAACCCAGCTGAATCTGTCGTTTGTGATGTTTCCAGGCAACTGAATGTGCTGCACCAGGCCGCCTCAGGTTTCCCGATACATGTATAGAAGTAATGCACTACTCATTAAGTTGCTGAAAATTCTTTGACAGACCACGACCGCTTTCGCCCTTCTTGGGGCTCATCAAGTAAGTGCAATCTCTGGGTTTCTATCAACCTTAGGTCCTACTTTATTAGGAGAACCAGCTCCGAACGTAACGGGACTAGATAACTGCCAATGAGACAGATTTCATTGGTTGTTCTTCACTCGCCCTTGACAGATGAGTTGTATTCTTAGTATCACTGTTTTGACCCCCTTGTACGCGACAGTGATCAACAGATCAGCCGGTTCGCACGTTCATTGACTTTTTCTGGTTTGGCCAAGCGCATCAGGCGATCAGGCGGTTATCCGGACATGAGGCGGCCTGGTGCAGCACATTCATTTACCTAAAAACATCACAAACAAGAGATTTCGCCTGGTTCCAGGTCAGTCTCTCATAAAACCGAATTTGTTTGCAAACGGCTGTATTTCGCTTTACTGAGGTGGTTCGGTTGTAATTCTTGTGAGTTTAAAAATCATCTTGCAAACCAACTGTTTTTTCAGTTTGTGGATTGATTGTTCCTTTTTTTGAGAACTGGGCCGACCTGATGAAACCTGAGCCATGCATGATCGATAATGGTCTGTTCACATATTTAAGCAACAAGTTGAAACTGCCTATATATGAAATACTTAGTTTCACATGACTCTCGTTTGAACAGTTTACCTTCTGCTCTGGCTTAGTTATTCCGGTGATTCCACTCCAAAGGGCGGAGCATTGGCTCAGGTTTCACCCTTGTTGGATCTTATCACCACTGTATATTCTTGGTTGTACCGGGATTCGAACTTCGGACATCTAACCCACCAGTCGAGCAAGTAACTACCAACCCACTGACGAACGCTATGCGCACTAGATGTTTAGGCAATGTGACTGCTTGTGACGACTCAGAATTTTCGCAGCAGAACTTCTAGGCAGCATGTGTGCAATTTTATGAGAGCTAACTTGTCGCCGATGAAATTACGCTTTCGTATCATTTTGTGCCCTCGTACCATGTATTTTTCTACAATTTCGAAGCGTTAGTTGGAAATTCATATTTAACCAAATTGAAGAATTCTTCTTGAGGTACAAACTCGAATTCTCATTATGGTCGTTTGACAAATCAGGAGAGACATCAGTATCAGCAATTCGTCTAAACTACCGCTCTACAAAGTAATTTGTTGTAAAGTAATCACAATGGGTGCGCACTCATAAACCCTACCAGTAAAAGGAAGAAGTATTTTGCTGCGGAGTTATTTATTAGAGAAAACTGAGCAGAGCAGTTACAGACTATTGGACGGGGGAGCAAAAATCTCATATGCATTTTGTTTACGAAAAGTGAATAACCAGCCTCTTCTTGAATGCGTCTTCTCGAATTTTCCTGCATACTCATTGACTGTTACCCGAATGCAAGCAAATGCTACAAAGTGACTCCACAAACTCCGTAATAGATGTCACTTTTCAAGAGAAGCGGATTTACGAGAAGACACTACTCACATGCCCCATCAGTAGTATACACCGTCACACCAGGAGATCTGACCTATGGAACAACCTTGAAAACGTTCACCATTTGCATCATTTTCAGTTTTATTATTAGTAATGGTAGCATATAGAATCAGCCAAAACTTTGTTGTACAGGTGACAATGAGTTGAACAGATTGCGTAACTAAGTGCATTGTTCCAGCTATTATTTTCGTGGAGGCACGTATTGACAGCACAACTGTCGACTGCAGCTGACACGCAAAAACCGGAAGTGGACACGTTGCTCAAGTGTACAGATGTACCGAGGAAATACATTAGCACGATAAAGTGTTGATCGATCCCAGTTCCATTATAGTACAAATATAGTATTGGTACTCTGAATGCTGATACTGGATTCGACACGGAGTGTAGAACTGGTTTGACGCAGCAACCGTTTTTTCAGTACTCCACTCAACAGTAAACATACATAAAAACGGGCTCATTTGACGTAAGAGTACAGTTTAAAGCATTCGAAACATTCGTAAGTGTGGAAGCACACTAAGTTATCGCGAGGATGTCATATCCATTTATAGTACACCATCAACAGAGGATATACTGTACCTCTTTTGGAACCCCTCTCTTCGAGAGGAAAACAGGATACACTTCCCGTGTAATTCGCAAGATCGAATCTCATCACGTCATGAAGGTTTGTTTCCCGTTTAAGAGAATCTGCTGACTATCATCCGAAAATTTCCAATACCACCAAAAAGACTGCTTCATAGTAGATTAAAAAAAGATAACCAGTCAGCTGTAACACCCTTCCGATGCCTAGCTGCCATGCCACGCGAAGGAGGCACGAGGGCTGGAATACTGCCAGGGTGCCCAAGCCTAGACAGAGGAAGCCGAGAGGCAGGCGTCGGGCTCGAACTACAGACCTTTCGGTCAGTAAATTCGCGCTCTGACCACTTGAGCCATCTCGCACCCGCTTCATAATACTAACTAGTGTTTCCGGAGGTGATCGATCAGTTAGTTTGCATGTTAATCCTTGAATCATGTGGTTCTGAACTGGATTCGACTCAATGAAATTCGAGAACATCGCGAAGCACCTCACTGTTCTGACAGGCTACCAATTTCGTTTTGTTAGGGTCACATGAATCCCTTTTGTATTTTGGTTAAAAATGATAACCAGTCTGAAGAAATATAGACGAGCTGACAAGCATGAACTAAGCGTTTACAAACTATCGGACACGAAAGTTGTTAAACACTGCTAATTGTTTCAATTGCGCATAATCAGTCTTTTTTTCAGATGCAGGGACGGCGCTTTAGAACACTTGATCAGGTGCTACTTGCGCGTTTTTTTATCAGTGGTATAAACTTTGTACACGTAGGACTTATGTTCATACTTCGTTTGTTTCACGTGCGTTCACGACGTCAAGCTCAACTGGGAGGAGTTGACACTTGTACAGAATATTGACAGATAAAAACGCCAACGCTCTTTGCACTGAGCATACGTGAGCAAAGAAGGCTGACGGATGTTCAGGTTAGGAAACTAGGGATCGAACTCTAGAAATACACTGATTTGCAAATGAATTTTGTTTTCACGAGAGACTCAGCTGAATCTCTCGTTTATGATATTCTACAACTGAATGTGCTACACACAGGCCGCCTCATGCTTCAGTTGACACGATATTCAAGGTATCCCAGTATATTGTTCATAAAGGTAACTACGGGGGACTGCGCCTACCTGATGAGCCCCAAGAAGGGCGAAACCGGTCGTGGGCTGTCGACGAATTTTCAGCAACCTTATGAGTAGTGCAATAGGGGTGGAACTTTTTAAAGCACACCAAGCCTTTAAAAACCACAAGTTAGGTGACAAACCAAGTATTAAGTTTGAAGTCCCCTCAGAAGCAGGTTTGTTCAGTGACGGAATGATTTACTGTGTGTGTTAATACATAGTATCTGCAATTTTATGCATGGAAATATAATGACACATTGATAAAATCGTGAGTGTGTACTACTGAAATGACGATGGACTTCTTTTAATTGCAATTAAACGTTTCGGAAATATGCTAATGTTCAGTGGAAAAATTCTGGGGAAAAAACTTCGGTTAACAGGATAGTTACATCGACTTAA